GACTTATGACTACTACTGACAAAGGTACTGTTACACGTAAGGCTGAAATGTTATACTAGGACTAGGTTTGTAGACTGAGCCACTGTAACTTAACAGTGGTTTTAGAACATATACTGGTTGAAGCAATGTTTCAGACTGAGACTGGAATAGACAACTGAGTCTATTACTGGAGATGTACCTATGAAGTGTATGTAGGGAACAAGAGGACAAAACTAAAGTACAGTAGTGCAAGCAGTGCTACTTAAATGGTGCCAACCAAATAGAGTTTAATAAGTATGAAACACTGAGTTAGATCAGTGATGTACATGGAACAGTTTCACCAGGTTGTATCAGTGATGAAGATGAAACATGATAGGGATGGAACGTGATGTAGGTGAAACATGATATAAGTGAAATGCGATATATATGAAACACTGATGTAGGTGAAACACATCTAGTGATGGGATCAGTTGTAATGGTACAGGGTCAATGACAAATAGTTAGGAAAAGAAAAAGAACTTCCCCTGAAGCTGTAACAATAATATTATCCCCCCTTCTAGTTTTGTTTGGCCTAATCCAAAGATTAGAGATTTGAGTTGTACAACATATATTTCTGTTATTCTGTCAAGTACATTGGTTTGGAAGTGGTACAGTCTAATGATAGAGGTGGCTGCAGGAGATGGAGACAGTAACAATGAGGGCAGAGCCAATTCTTGTCAAGGGACCTGGAATGACAGAGGATTAGGAGTTCCACTAGACTTGACTAGAGTGTCCTAAGGCTATAACACTTAAGTTCTATAGGACTTATACTGAGAATTTGTCCAACTTGGCTGTGCTTCTCTAGCAGGGGATGTTTGAGAGCACACACTGAGTGAAGCAGTCAAGAGAATGCCTAGGTTCTATTGAGTGTCCCTATGAGGTATTGTAGGAACAAGGGGACAAAACTGAAGTACAATGAGGCTAGGGCTATATCTTAAATAGACAGAGGTATTGGAAATAGCATAAGGTCTTGTTGATGTAAATATAATGATGTATTAGTACAGAAGTTGAATCAGGAACTGATAGATGAGATGATGGGAGTAGAACACTGAGATGAATCAGTGATGAATGTTGACAGCTAGATAGAAGAGAAGCACATAGAATGTATCAAGAAAAGATCATACAGGAATAGATTGTATAGGGTCTGGAGTAAATGAGCAAGATGAAAAAGAGAACCCCTCTTGTAACACTGTAACAATTCTAGCATTCTTCCTGAAGATGGCTATTGATGTGATCTTGGGAAACCTAACCCTACAACTGGGGGGGGTGCAAAGTAGAGAGTAAGTTACTATTTCTCAGGGAAGCTGATAGAGATGAGGGCTTGTAGCTCTGATAGCTCACTCAAACAGTGAGGGCTTCACTAAGTCTTCTTGGGATGGTGTCATAAGGCTGTCTTGGACCATCTGAATACTTTGACTTCTTAATAGAAGTGAATGGAAGTTAAGAGAACTGGCATGATAACTCAAATGTGACATGTAATTTGATTGATGGTACACAAGGATTATTCAGGAATCAGACATAGGGTTGGAACTTTAGGCAACTTAGCTGGTTGTGCTTGTGTTTTGGGTGGGCAGACTAGAGTTGAATGTAGTTTGACTGTTGTAAGCATAGTTTGGAGGGTTGTAACTGTAGTTCAGAGGGTAGGTGTGACACTTTGATTAGGGTTCAAAGTCAGACTGAGCTCTGCTGAGTGGAGATGTGATCCTATCTGAGTCTTGCTACTAGGGGCCAAGTACTACTCTACAACCATGTGCAACATCTCTTAGTATCCCTTGACATGCCCAAAGCACCTGAGTCACCACCTCTGCTGTCCCAAATACACCTAATGATGAAAGAGTTGCAGATAGAATAGAAAAAGGAGGTAGAGAGAGTACAAAATGTTTTAAGTACTATGGACAAAAGGGATTGCCAGTGTTCAATTCAACTCTTATCCTATCTCCTAGTCAGTGGAGTCCTTGATGTACTCACAGTACCCCCCACCTGGTTGGTTTTGTTTACAATGAGTGGCAATGATCAGCTGATGGCTGACTGTAGGCTGGAGGGGGTATTGGACTGTTGCAGTGATGTTGAATGCCCGCTAATGTTTCTGTTCAAGGTGTTGTATGTTGATGCAAAGGAGGGGAAGGGCAAGAGAGAGGGAGGTGACAGAAAGGAGGGTGAGAAGGAGTAGCCCTAGGAGGGTGGCAAGGACAAGGGTGTTGTCTGTCAAGGATCTTGTTACAGCAGCAGAGGGGGGTTCCTTTTTTTTTCTTTCCCTAACTATTCATTGTTGACCCTGTAACTGTATGACTGATCCCATCACTTGATGTATTTCACCTACATCAGTGTTTCATATCTATCATGTTTTGCTTTTATCATGTTTCACTTACATCACATTTCATCTCTATTATCTTCATCTTCATCACTGATACAACCCAGTGAAACCTGTTTTATACTCATCACTGATCCAACTCAGTGTTTCATACTTATTAAACTCTATTT